TCAATTCAAGTTCCACCAAGCTGCCATTCCAGATAGCCCAGAAAGGTAGGTTGAAACCATACACCTCTGGTTTACATATTTGCCAGCATGTACCCTTTTTCTTCGGAACCTGGAAATTCTGGCGGCCTGGTTGGTTCATCCAGTCCCTCTTCAAAGACCAGAACATTGCCTGGTTTCACAAGTTTTAACTCTGTTTCATAAGTCTAGTCTTTACAGTAGCACCATCGAAAGCTTAAGTTACCTCTCTACTCAGGACTTTCAAGTGGGCTTTCATTCTTCTTCTATTGGTTTCTATGATTTACATGACTATGAAAACTTATTGTAGGTTTGCACTACCCAGTACCAGTTTGTATTCCTTTATATCACCACAGACCTTGTCCCAAAGGACAATGTCATGTGACCTGCCAGTCATGCTGGTGCAACATAGATTACAGATGTCTTATCCCAACCAATTGCAAGAGACAGTTAATCGTAATATAGAAAGGATTTTCAAATTTTTCATTAATACTGGAATTTGAACTCTAGACCTGCCACTTGGGGGTTGACAACCTGACTATTTCACTAGGTTGTCACATCTCATTAAACTGAAGAATTATATTAATATTTGTAATAACTTCTTTGTAACAAACATAAACTTTAGGCTCAACTTCATTATCTTCATTACAATTATAATTAAGTATAGTATTGATTATTTCTGCATCGCTAAGCATTACATTAGTTTTAATATTATGATTAGCTTTAATATAATTATTTGCAAGTATTAAGTTAATTATAGGAAAATGATTAATTAAAGACTGAATTTCTGTTACAAGATCAATAGGGTCTGCAATGCTTAATGTTTGTGAACTTTGTAAAATAAGATCAACTAGTTTAAAATCCTTTATTAATTCTTAAGAGGGCAAGAAAAAAAGTTATTTGAAAGAACTTCAGTTTTGATCCAACAGTTATAAATTGTTTTATCAGAAACCTGTTTCTATATTTTAGCAAAAAGGTTAATAGCATCTTTAATATTAATTAGTGAAGTATTTTCATCAGTTTTTGTTACTTTCTCATAAGCTGCAATATGATTTTTGCAAAATAGTTTATAATAGTATGCCTTAAAACTCCAGATTATATTAGCATTACAAAGTTGCAAATAGAGTTAACATCTGAATTTATTTTTATATTTAGATTTAATTAATAATTAAAAATATAATCCAGTTTAATCTAAATATAATTAAATCTGGATATATAATTAAATCTAAATATAATAAATCTGGATTTATAGTTATATCTGAATTTATAATTATATTTGGATTTAATTATATCTGAATTGTCAAATTGCACATCATATATGTTCAAAATAATTTAATTATAATCTGAATTTAATTTACAATAGAGACAGACACTTGGAAAATATGTACTGAGTTTGTTCTGAACTACAAATCAGATTTCAAGATCATTGTAATGTAACATGATTAAAAAAGTTCAAAACATACATTTGCTCTGCAAAAAATTGCCCATAACTCAAAAATCAGCATAAGCAACCACCTTTTGTGATTTAATAAAAAGTTTTTGTTAAATAATTTTACTATTACATCTGTTTTTTCTCTAATCTCTAACCTTGGCCCTAATTCTAACCTTAACTAATTTTAAGAAATTAGTCTGCATCACAAACCTAGTATGCATTTTCTGAGTATTAGAAACAGTGCCTAATCCAAAATAAATTCCTCTTGCCTGTAATCAATTACAAATTAAATTATTTATATTGGATTCAATTGTGATAAATATAATCCCTTATTAGTTTTAATTTATATATAACATTATCAGCAGAATAAATATGCGAAATATTGCGAAAGATTTTGCATACTGAAAATCTTTCAAAATAACTGCGATTGACATGAAATTATTTTAAAATAAAATAATTTCACAATATTGCAAAAGAAATGAAATAATTTCAAAAGAATTTCAGCTAATTTACAAAATTTTAAAAAATGAAAATAATTTGAATAATATTAGAAATATTTAGAAAAATTCAAAATATTTCGAAAATATTGAAATTATTTTAAAATATTTCGAAATATTCAAAAGTATTTCGAAATAATTAAAAAATTTTCAAAATAATTTTGAAATTTTTCGAAAAATATGAACTAATTTTTATTAATAAATTTATTTTATTTTATTTAAAATTTTGCTATTCATAAATATTAATATATTTAATTGATTTTTTAATTTAAAAATTAACTAAGCAAATTTATTTATTTTTAATATGTATCAACTTTATTTATTATATATCAAATACAAATAAAAATATAAGAAAAGATAAAAAAAAAAATATCTATATAAAAATTTAAAATTTGTAAAAAATTTCAACGTAATTCAAATAGTTTCGAATATCATAAAATAACTTAAGATGTATTAGTAAATAAAACAAATAAACAAAAAAGTTTTATTTAAATGTTAAATTCCTGAATAACGATTCCCTCAAATTTAGCTAAAAAAAGAAAGATAATTAGAAAATATTCAAAACAAATAAAAACATTTTACAAATCTTCTTCAGTATCTTGATTTTCATCAAATAAATCTAAATTTAATATAAAAAATATTTGTAAATAACTTTAAATAGTAATGAAAAATTGCGAAGATATTC